GTCTTTAGTTTTTGTTGGTTCTGTGTCAGAGGTTTGGGTCAGTCTTTAGTTTTTGTTGGTTCTATGTCAGAGGTTTGGGTCAGTCTTTAGTTTTTGTGGGTTCTGTGTCAGAGGTTTGGGTTCAGTCTTTAGTTTTTGTTGGTTCTGTGTCAGAGGTTTGGGTCAGTCTTTAGTTTTTGTTGGTTCTATGTCAGAGGTTTGGGTCAGTCTTTAGTTTTTGTGGAATCTGTGTCAGAGGTTTGAGTCGGTCTTCAGTTTTTGTTGGTTCTGTGTCAGAGGTTTGGGTCGGTCTTCAGTTTTTGTTGGTTCTGTGTCAGAGGTTTGGGTCGGTCTTCAGTTTTTGTTGGTTCTGTGTCAGAGGTTTGGGTTCGGTCTTCAGTTTTTGTTGGTTCTAAGTCAGAGGTTTGGGTCGGTCTTTAGTTTTTGTTGGTTCTGTGTCGAAGGTTTGGGTCGGTCTTTAGTTTTTGTTGGTTCTGTGTCAGAGGTTTGGGTCGGTCTTTAGTTTTTGTTGGTTCTGTGTCAGAGGTTTGGGTCGGTCTTTAGTTTTTGTTGGTTCTGTGTCAGAGGTTTGGGTTGGTCTTTATCCTGTGATGGGTGATCATGTGTTTTTGTGAAGGTGTGATCATCATGGAGAACAGAGACCAAAGAGTTCCTCGTCCTGGAACTGGTCTGGACCACCAGAACCAGACGAAGAGGTGAACTGACCCTTTTTCTGGTCATTGTTCACATCAGAGGTTCCGTTTGGGTCCAGACTGCTGACGTGTTTCTGTTGCTTTCAAGAGCTGAGGAGCAGCACAGACCAGACTCTGCTGGACCAGAACCAGAATCCAAGTGTTTGGTCGCACAGAGGTCCATGGATATAAAACTTCCTGATTTAAGCGAAACAAAGTGAGTGACTAAAGATTAAATTCACTTCAGGTTCTGATTGTCAGATGGTCCAAATAAAAACTCAACTTCCTTTCTGTTTCAGGCCAGACCAGCAGCACGGACCAGACTCTGCTGGATCAGATTCTGATGGACCAGAACCAAAATCTGAACCTAGATCCAAGAGTTTGATCACACGAACCAATTCCAATCACAACCCACTCAGTAACTGTAAAGAAACAGAGTGAGTCTTTTTCATTTTTGTCTTCATCTGTTTTTACTTTTCTTTATTTTACTGTAAAATAAAAACAGGAAGTAAAACAGAGAAAAAGAATGACAAAAAGAACTTGAAAAACTGATTTAAATTGAATTAAAAATAAAATATATGGAGCAAAACCACAAAACATGATAATCAAAATAAAGTTTAATTTACTTCAGGCTGTGTTTTATAAACTTTTATGACTTTCCTCCTGTTTAAGACTGGAGCAGCACCGACCAGACTCTGACCCGAAACCCAAGACTTTAATCAAACGTACCAGGTCCATGGATATAAAACCTCCTGATTTTAGAGAAACGGAGTGAGTGATTTTTATAATAAAACTTTCAACATAAAATATATATATATAGGGAAGACCGGGGACAGTAACAACAAGGGACGGTTGCAACACATCATTTTTCTCCAAACAGAAACAAGCTATAGTGATGACACTCACACTGTACATGCTCAGTTAGATGCTCAGTTAGAAAGAAAAAGTAAGCAGATTCACTGCTCCAGGATTTATTTGAAAAAAAAAAACTGTTTTTGAGGAACCAAAGTAATTTTTTTGCCCAGCTTTATTTTTGTTATACTGTTGTCACTGTTTTTGTGATCCAGCTCCAACTTATATAGTTTAAACAAGTGATATGTTGACTTTTAACTAATATAGTTAACGTGTATCCAGACCAGCTTATTCAGCTAACACATGAGGTTTTATCATGGCTGACAGGAAGGGGGACAGTTGTAACAGTTGCTACAACTGTCCCCATACAATAAATCCATACAAAAACAGAGCACATACATGATATTAAGATGTTGAAATTGAGTTTACACTTAAAAAGGTACTGGGTATTCATGATAATTTTATAGTTTAAAACATAAAAGTGTTTAAGATGTATTTTCTACAGTTGTTGTTTTCAACAATGGTTTTAAAATCCCAGTTTCTTTCTATGGAAATGTTACATAATGTAGGCGTACAGTGACAATAGGCAAAACAAAAGTTAATTGTCTCACAAATTGTTCTATTATCCTTGTCTCAAAAAGTCAACTGTATTTTATATCAATTAGAGTCTTTGACATCTGTATATAAGGTCTACTCATCAAGGCAAATCGATATTCATCATTTGATCAAAAAGAATAAATAAATAACCCTGTAATATCATTATAACTTACAGTTTTTATTAATTTGCAATAATATAAATATAAAAATAATAAAACTTTTATTTACAGTGAAATATATTGTATTAATAATATGTTGTAACCACCCATCTGACTTTTCATTTTCAAATACAAATAGTGAAGAACGTACATGCTTTAATCACCTATAAATAGTTTTGACTATTAACAGACAGATGTAAGTTTATTGTTTTAAAATTTGGTTTGTCTCATTCAAATCATCTTTGAGTAACAGAGTCAAATGCAAAAAAACGTTGCAACTGTCCCCGGTCCACAGAACCAGTCAAAAGTTGTCGGGTCAAGATTCTCACAAACGTTTCTTTTTCGTGTGTTGAAGACCAGAACCACAGCAGAAAATGGGCTCTGCTGGACTCAGTCCTGGATCTGGACCTGGATCTTTGGTCCAAAACAAAACATCAACAGACCTTGAAGACCTGAAGGAAATTAAGTAAGTTTGTTTTTTTTTTCTTTTATATTTCATTGATAAAATAGAGACGACGGTTATAAAAAATGATTTCAGCTCCAGTTGTCTCTTGAGGTCCTGCTGTAAAACAACCTGTTTGTTCTATGACTGATGAGCTAAAGGCTAGTCTAAAAGTAAGTGAGTGAGTGAGTGAGTGAGTGTAAGCTTTATTTCTATAAAACACTGAACACAGCTGAAATGAAAGTATCTTAAAACAACAAATGTCTCTAAAATAAGACAAAAAGTGAACTCCAAACTTTTAGCTGCTGTGTTTCAGGAGACATTTTGTTTGCATGAAATCAAACCTTAGTTGAACTCATAACTGATCCTTTGCAGCTGAAATCAAAGAAAAATTTCTAAAAGTTTTAGAATATGTGAAGTTAACTGTTTACTTCCTCTAACCTGGTTCTGTTTGTCTGACATAAACTCAGTAATCTTGTTGGTTCAGGTTGTCTTGCCAGGAGCATGGCATGTTGAAGTCAGCTGGTTTGTACAGTAGAAGTATTTGTTAATTTTAGGATGGACTCTCTGCACGACATCCACATGTTTCAACAATCAGATAACAAACTTTGTTTTGTTTTTAGCTAAAAGATAATCTGCAGAAATATTGAGAGAGCAGCAGCTACTGTCTTAGACTTTCTGTAATAAAGCTAACACAATCACAGTCCTCTCAGTCCTGGGCAAGGGGTTCAGTTCAGTTCAGTTCATCATCCTTCTCCAGTGGTGGGCAGCGCTAATCCCAAAATTAGCTCCGCAATTTCTAAAGTGCTTATGAAAATATTTAGGTCCGCAACTTCAAAAACGCTTATGCCGTAGAAAAATTAGCGGAAGCTAATTCTAAAGCACAAGTTCAATTTGACACTTACTAACTGGCAACAATTGTACAATACATGTACAACACTGCCAACTAGCAGCGTATGAACCTTTGTTCAGCTTAATCTTACAAGCGTCGATTGCTGGGGATGTGATTTCCTGAAACAGAACATTGGCTCCTGGTGTAAAATTAAGTTGCTGAGGATTGCTAGTTTGGCTGATTCTTTCAAAAGTTGTTGAGGATTGCTAGTTCGGCTGCTTCTTTGTCTTTTTCATTTGTTTGTTGTAGATTTTTCATTAAAGAAGCATCAATAAAGCAATTTTAAAACTTTTTATTAGAAAACTGAAGCGATGCATTCTGGATATACATGATGAATTTGATTTGTGTTGGGAAATGAAAGTTTTCCATGCAGTTGCTCCAGATGACCACTAGATGTCTGTCTAACCCTGTTGGCAGATTTGCTTTGACCAATTACGTAAAATATTGAGCTCCAGCATTTAATTTTTTTTAAAAAGTTGCTCCAATTTAGCGCTGGGCTGTGTACCGTTTTGTACCGAAAACCGGTTTTTATTTTTGTTATGATATGAATTTTCTGAATACCAGTGTAAATAGCCTGAACATGTGCGGAACGTTTTGTCACGGCCGCCAGTGAACTGTTTCCCGGGGGACACGTTTGATCACAGCACCGCTAAGCGCATTAGCATGCTAACGTTATTGTTGGAACAACTGGCGGTGAGTGGTGTTTCAGCCTCTTATATGGTCTGACGTAAAAAAAAATCCCGTTTTCACCATCGCTGAGTAGTAAACAACTCTTCAGTGACGTGCATGGTTAGATTTAACGCGTTATGTTATAATGGAGACGTTATTGCATGGAGACTTTAGCGTGCTTCTATTGTGAAAAGCCCGGGGGGAAGTAGATTTGTAATGTAGCAAAGTTGACTGGTGTGCAAGGTTAGTCGTCCTTTTAAGTTTTATTAACATGCAACAATAGACCAGATAATGATTTTTTCTCAACCCTTCACGATCGGACCTAAATGCATGATTACTGTCTACAACCAGACAAAGAAGAAAAGATGTACAAGAGGAGGGAAACAGTGATACAGAGGTACAGTAAAAGAAAAAAGTCAATAAGCAAAGTTTGTACATTTTATTATCAGCTGAGCTGTGAGGAAAAAAATACAGTCAAATACAGTGAAACCGGTGTAATTGTTGAAAATATCGTGATATAAAACTTGGGTCATACCACCCAGCTCTACTCCAATTGTAAAGTAAAATAAATCAATACATTGTGGTGAGCCACTAGTGGGCTCCACTCACACCTACTAAGACCGGATGTGGTGATGTAAGAATGCTTGTGAATAAGTGTATTGTTTTTGGCGCTAACCTGGCAGAGTGAGTTAACTGTTAACGTTAACTGTTTTTGCTATTGCCTTCCTGCTACATAAGCAGACACAAAGCATTGTGGGAAATCAGAACCGTGACCGAAAGCAACAATCAGCAAGGATGTATACCTTCTCAATAAGTGTGTTTATCTGGGAGGGGTGCTGTTGTATAGATCACGTGTGTTGTGATTCATTGACAGCCATACCTTCCACTGTTCAAGATAATGATGACTGGTAGATAATTAGTTATTAGCGGTACTGCATTTTAATTTTAGAAAGCACAAATCCGCTTATGTAGTATAAAAATTAGTAAGACTGCCAAATCGCAAACGAAATATTTAGGTCCGCAATTAGTGGATTTGCGCTTTCGCGGACTGGTGCCCACCACTGTCCTACTCCAACGACTACAAGCTGCGGTGAGTGAGAAAATCAGGGAGGAGCAAGCTGGCTTCAGATGTGGCCGATCGTGCATAGAGCAGGTCTTTGTCCTGTGGACCATCGTTAAGCAGAGCCTGGAATACCAACAATGGCTACCAGTCAGCGTTATAGAAGGTATAGGGAAAACAGGCCCGGAGAAAGGCAGGTTGTACAAAGGCCTTGCCATTGGTATTGTTTTATATGGGGGCAAGAGGAGGGGCAGATATAATCTGAGTCCTTTTGGACATAATGTTTGCAGTCCGCATTGGTGGGCACCAGTCCGCTAAAGTGCAAATCCGCTAATTGCGGACCTAAATATTTTGTTTGCGTTTTAGCAGTCTTACTAATTTTTATAATTCATAAGCGGATTTGTGCTTTCTAAAATTAAAATGCAATACCACTAACAACTAATTATCTTCCAGTCATCTTGAACAGCAGAAGGTATGGCTGTCAATGAATCACAACACACATGATCTATCCAACAGCACCCCTCCCAGATAAACACACTTGTTGGAAACGTGTACACCCTTGCTGACTGTTGCTTTCGGTCACGGTTCTCATTTCCCACAATGCTTTGTGTCTGCTTACGTAGCAGGAAGGCAATGTTTAGTACTCCTTTTCCCAGCAAAAACAGTAAACGTTGGTAATCCATACTAAAATTTTGTATGTATTGATTTATTTTACTTTACAATCGGAGCTCCTTTTAAAAAAATTAAATGCTGGAGCTCAACACTTGACAAAATTGGTCAAAGCAATCCGCCAATGGGGTTAGACAGACATCTAGTGGTCAACTGGCGCAACTACGTGAAAAACTTTCGTTTCCGTCACAAATCAAATCAGTTATGTACCCAGAATGCATCGCTTCAGTTTTCCAATAAACAGTTTTAAATTGCTTTATTGATGCTTCTTTAATGAAAAATCTACAACAAACAAAAGAAAAAGACAAAGAAGCAGCAGAACTAGTAATCCTCAACAACTTTTTCATTTTTACACCAGGAGCTAAAGGTCTGTTTCAGGAAATCACATCCCCAGCATTTAGTGCTTGTAGGATTAAGCTGTACAAGGGTTCTTACACCACTAGTTGTTAGTGTTGTGCATTGTACATGAATTGTTGCTAGCTAGTAAATGTCAAATCGAACTTGTGTTTTAAAATTAGCTTCTGCTAATATTTCTATGACAAAGGTGCTTTCGAAGTTGCAGACCTAAATATTTTCATAAGTGCTTTAGAAATTGCGGAGCTAATTTTTCGGGTTAGCGCTGCCCACAACCGGCAGTCGCACAAACAGAAAAAACATGGGTCTGCATCCTTCAACATCACCCTTTTCATCCACAGGTTTGTGTGAAGATAAAGTGCTTGGATACTGTTCTAAACTTTTTTTTTCTGTTTGACTGCATCCGTCCGCAGGTTAAATCTGTACCACCTACCCTGGGCCGGCCCACTCCGCATCCCGAGGCCTGGTGACCTCATCCTCGTGGAAAAACTTCAAAAGGACGTCCTGGAGATCGAGCTCGGACCCTTCCTAGAGAGGGTCCTCCTGCACCCATTTGAGCAGCAGCCGGAATGGAGCTACTCCTCCCTCTGAGCACGAGGTTACAGCTCAACTTCGGCTCTTGTTGTGCGTGATCGGCTGATCACGCACCTTGTTTTTTTTTTTTTTTTTTTAAAAACAGAACAATTTACACCTAAGATGGAAATGGCTGGGTGAACTGAGATTTTTTCTAGACTGTTTTGCATCATTCCCCCATTTCACCTCTGGGCACGTTCCACCAGGACTAATTAGGCGGAGTGCCCCCCACCCGTCAGTTTTGAAAGCTCATTTCCACTTGGATTGATAACTGTACACATGGACCTGATATTTCAATGACTGAGTCTGACTATGACTGTTGTGCACATTTCAGGTGGACTGTTTTATTGCAGATGTTATTATTTGGCTGTTTAATGTTTTTCAGTCTCTAGGTGCTAGGTTTTCCTCGGGGGGCTGATTACCATCCTCCTGGACTTTTGCTAAGTATACAGTTCTCCCTCCTTCAGGCAGGACTGGATGCTTTCAGGTCCCGTAGCAGGTCTGGAAAGACTCTCTGTCTCAGTGATGCTTCAGATACTGAGATATTTTAAATGTTTTGTTTTTCTGCTTTATTTTTATGGTTTCATTTTGTTTAATTTTATTATTTCCTAGAGTTTTGTCCTTGTGTACAGCTTCCTGGTAAAGAGGATGCTAGACCCCTCTCAGAGGTCTTTCCAACGACAGTAATTTTTGTTTATTTGTTCTTTTATAGTTCTGTGGTAAATACGAGGAGGGAATATTCTGTTTATTCCGAGCTCAGAACGCCACAAAGACATAGGTCAGGTAAAGGTTTCCTGTTTCCTGTTTGGATTGATGGTCAGGTCCAGGAAGCTGAGTAAAGATGTCTCACCACGTCTGTCCCTGACAGACGGACAGTCTTACCGGTAGTTTAGAATTAGGTTACAAGTTCAAAGAGGAGGGGAGAGCTATTGTTTGGATTTACTTTTTCTTATTTTGTATTTATTTTATTCTGTTTTTCCTTTTCGGTTTCCCTTTTCAGTGCAAAAGCCAGTTTTATTGCCATTATTAACAAGGTGTTGAGTTCTTGTCTCATGAACTCTGTGATTTCTCATTAAAATGATTTTGAATTTTCTTCAAGTGGATTGTTGGAATAAAGTTTTCCTAAATGGGGATTGAAACTTAAGTTACATATTTTTATGACATTATTTCTTCATTAATTCTTAAGTTCATTGAAGTTTTTGTGATTTTAATTGTCATTTGCTATTTTAATTTACTCAGTCTATTTTTGAAGTTAAGGCCTTGAGCATTGATTCTGATGGATTGGTCCAGATTTACTTTGATTAAAGTTCATATGTAATTTCAATCACATATGCCACTTAGCTGTTATTTGATTAATGTCCACGTTCAAAGTAACTCTTGGGGGGGGATATATGTGAGTAAAGAATCCACTCGCAGGGCACAAGATTACGTTCGAGTTGTTGGTTAAATTTTAGGTCATTTCTGTTCCTTTAAATTTTTGACATTTAACCCATTCATTATTGATTTTTCAAAAATTGTTTCATTTTTCTCTTATGGTTTGGTTCTATTTTGATGATTTCGGTTTGGTTCTCAAATTTTTTTGTTGTTCCGCTCTCGGAGGAGTAAGACACTTTTTCCTTCTCTCCTGCCCATCCTTATCTTCCCTGCTTTGCTGCTGGAGCCTTCTTTACATTTTCATCCAAATCCGAAACCAGAAATTATGGATATTTTTATGGATTTTGTTAGCTGGTCTCTTAATAAATTTTTTGGAACAAAGTTTTTTCTTCCATGGGAGGACATGTCAAAGGTGGGACCTCTGTTCTGGATATATATTTGGATTCTGATCACTGGATTCTACAGATTGGTTTGGTGGTCTCCTGGTGTTCTACAAAACGTCGGTGGCTTTTCATTTCCTGGCTGCCTGACCAAATGAAGGATGGCCGTATACTATCAGCACTCGGACTTTTGCCTTGAGTGAGCTGGACTCGGTCTGCAAGCGGTTCTGCTGAGGGTCGCAGGCCGGCTTGCTGGCCAGATGGAATTGATCTTGGAGAAGCTGATAGCTCGGCTGGACGGAATTGTCCACACTATTTGTCTGATTGGATTTGCCACCTTTGATGTACCAGCAGACATTAAAGCAGATGGGAAATTGTTGTTGTCTGCCTGGCTCTAAACATTCTCTTCTGTTCCCAAACAACTGATTACAGATTTGGCACTACCCTACAACGGCCTTGAGCTGTTGACTAAATTCTTCCTGTTTGGATTACGTCGACAGAGGCTCTGCCCCACACCTCCTCTCACATCTGTCTGTGATCTGGTTCCTGGAGCAGGCTGAGGGCTGCACAGAATGAACAGTTAACATCCATATTCTGGACTATGGCTGCACTGGTTTTGGGGACTGGATTCTTCGGGCTCATTCTTCAGATATTCACACAAGTGCATACAACACTCATGGCTTCAGATACCACCCCCCCGCCCCAATCTCACTTACTCCTCTGGCTAATAAATCTGCTCTATGCAGAGTTTTTTTTAATAAACACCATAGTGTGTCACATTGTTGATATAATATGATGTTTTGTTTTTTCCTCATCTTCCCTTGTGTGGTTTTTAGTTTTTCTGTTAAGGGTTGCGCCTCCTCATGATGTCTTCATGAAGATGATCCTTGTTCTGTGTAGGGTCAGTGGCTGCATGACCCAGACCACCTGTTCTCCTATGTTCTTCTGAACAGGTGTTCTGAACTGTAACTTAACTGTTACCTAATTTCCCTCTGGGATCAATAAAGTATTTTTGAATTGAATTGAATTGAAATACTTTGAGCTATTTTACATTTGCACTTGTTGTTGTTCCTTTTACATTTGTGTTGACAGTTTATAATTATTTTTTTCTTTAATTTAGTTGATCAATGTCTGATCAAGAGGAGGGGATGTGCTAGAATAATTACATAACTCTCTACCTGACTGTTAAGTTCACACTGCCTTGACATTTCTATTCTGTATCTCTTTGATAATTGCTACAATTTGTCAAAATCTGTACTAATGAGTCTAAGACACCAGTTGATGTCTGGGGACATTGTTCTCATTTTGATACTATTGTATAACTGGTATAACTTGTCATTTTGTGATTGGCTGTTCGTACGCTCCGCCCAGAAGTATTTAATCCATTTCCTGTTGCTACAGTTCAGTTGCTACGTGACCGGACCTTTGATTCAGACCTGTTCACGTTGCGTCTCATCCTTTAAAATTGCAAAACCTTATTAAATCATTTGACGACGATCCACGCAGTTCATCTTCTTTTATTCACATGTTTCTGCCTTTTAATACAGCGGATAAAATAAGTATTGAACACGTCACCATTTTTCTCAGTAAATATATTATTAGAGGTGCTAATGACATGAAATTTTCACCAGATGTCGGTAACAACCCAAGTGATCCATACATACAAAGAAATCAAACCATAAATGTCCAGAAATAAAGTTATTTGTAATTTCTGGACATTTATGGTTTGATTTCTTTGTATGTATGGATCACTTGGGTTGTTACCGACATCTGGTGAAAATTTCATGTCATTAGCACCTCTAGTT